CTGCTAACAAGACCTGCTAACAAGACCTGCTAATGCTGCTAACTAGACCTGCTAACAAGACATGCTAATGTTGCTAACAAGACCTGCTAACAAGACATGCTAACGTTGCTAACAAGACCTGCTAACAAGACCTGCTAATAAGACCTGCTAACACTGCTAACAGAACCATGATGTTGAAAGAACCTCAATGCTAACCCAACCACACTGTACATGGGGTTTTTTCTTTCCGACTTTGGTGCCTTGATTTTTAGTGTATTGGTAGTATTTTTGAGTATGTTTTCAGTATGTTAGTATTTTTAATGTTTTTTTAGTATGTTAGTAGTATTTTTTAATATGTTTTTAGTATTTTAGCTGCATGTTTTGATATATCTTGTTGTTGTTGTTTTCTTTTCTTTCTTTTTTTTTTTTTTTTTTGGTGAGTCGGCGGTTCTTCTCGTCCTAAGCATTTCATTGCATTGTTGACCTTGTGTAGATTTTGCACATGACAAATAAAACTAAACCTGAACTGAACTACAGTGTTGACCAAAATGCTTCACAAACAAGAAATCTAGCAATAAAACAAACGAAAGTTCAAACATTAAAAACACAAGTGTAATGTAAAATAGGCTAAGAACAAACTAAAACTAGAAAATAACAGACCAGAAAGGTTCTGATGGAAACTCAAACCAAACTTGAATTAAAAGCCAGAACAAAAAAGTGAGTTTTAGGCAGAATTTAAAGGACTGTATGGACTCTGCAGAACAAACAACAATGGCAGGTTGTTCCAGAGTCCTGGGGGGAAGGGGGGAGTGGAGGGTGCATGTTGTTCCAGGGTCTGGGGGATGCCACACCAAAAGCCTGATCCCCTCTGCATTTTAATTTTGCCCTCCGCTGCACTAAAAGCATCTGAATGGAGGACCTCAGTGCTCGTAAAAATGCAAAAGATCCATTAAATACTGGATTTAAAGCATTTAAAACTTTAAAAAGGAACAAAAATCCTAAAAAAGGATTAATGAGATTAACTACAAACCCTGAGAACATATAACAAGATTTCTGCTTATATTTGTATATTAAAATATTTGTATCATCATAATTTCCACACATCACGTACACAAAGAAATAGGAAATGCAATTTAACCTACATGCCTACTTTTACTAAACAAAACTTTATGAAAGTTTGTTTGTAGTATACATATGAATTGTGGTTTTACTCAGCATATTATTTATTTAATTATATGAAGGAAATATTTACTGCACAAAGTTAACTTGTCTCCTGTATTTGCAATGAAAAAGACAAGAGCAAATAAAAACCATCAGGGACCATTACAGCAGATGTAATAACTTGGATGTAAAAGCTACATTTAGAATTTTCATTTAATCTAACTTTTATTCTAATTCAGTCTAAGAGCTACATTTAAAATATTCTCTTGGTGGCCAAATCAAATGTTAACAAGAGCCAGATTTGGCCTGCAGGCCTTGACTTTGACCTACAGTATGTGTTTTACACTACAGTATAAAGACTGTCAACAAAAAGACTGGGCACACAATTATAATAAATAAAGAGGTGGAAGATGAATAATATTTGGATTGAACATTACAAACAGAAAAAACATCCGATAACTAGAGAATACATATAATAATAAAATCTTAAACAAAGTTATACCACCAGCTGATCAGATTTAATCTTTACAAACTTCTCTGAGAAATGTGAGGTGGAGTTTCCTACAGGACTAATTTTTCATCTCAGCTCAGGCTGCAGCAGAACATCAGCTGAGGGTGAAATGTACAAACACTGTTTATTGATGAGGAAACCCCATTCAGCTGAAGGTGCTGCGGTTCAGCAACAAATATATCAAGTCTTGACTTTTTTGCTGTACCTGTCAATGAACTTTTGATCAAATGTTATGGATGTTTTTATTATTATGGCTGAGAACATTTTCCCCTCTGCATGGAGAAAAAGAAGCTCAGTTGTCTCCCAAAACAACCGAACCACCTCCTAAAACACCCTGCCCATGAACCATATGTTTGTACAAATGAAGATTGCAGCTGGCTCCAAGGACACCCCTGAACTACAATGAACTCGGCTGAGCTGAGAGGGATATAAAAGCAAGCAGATAACGTGGCTCATGGCTAGGCCTGTTGCAATAAACAATAAATCAATTAATCGCATGATAAATGAAAATTATCGACCTCATTTTCATTTATCAGCTTTATCACTTCTTTGTGTCTCTCTCTTTCTACTGAAGACACTGGATGACAAAAAGCTCAACTCCGGTGCTCTTCACTGACCCCTCCCTTCTCTTTAAAATATGTTTTAATGATCCAAAATCGTGTTTTTGGATCGTTGAAAGCAGCTAAGCTGAGAAGCTAAGCTATGAGCTAAGCTAACAGGCCGACCTCGGGGAAAAAAAACACCGTCTTGTTGAAGCTCCAAAATTCACGGTTGAAACTCGTGTTCGTGTAAAAAATTGTTTTTCTCTGCAAAAAGAAGCTGAGAACTTGTTTACTGATTTTTTTATTAAAAGCTTTGTGTAAAAAATGCTATGCTAAAGAGCCCAAACCACACTGAGCGTCTGCCATTTTGAGAACCGAAGAG